GACTGCAGCACTCACACATACACACACCGAATTGTACTGGGTACAACAGGGGGTAAAGATGGACTGCACAAGTTATCGGGGACTGCAGCACTCACAYATATACACACCGCATGTTACTGGGTACAGCAGGGGGTAAAGATGGACTGCACAAGTTACCGGGGACWRCARCGCTCACACACACACACCGCATGTTATTGGGTACAACAGGGGGTAAACATGGACTGTGCAAGTTACCGGGGACTGCAACATTCACACACACACACACCGAATKTTACTGGGTACAGCAGGGGGTAAGGATGGACTGCACAAGTTAYCGGGGACTGMAGCACTCACACATACACACRCCGAATGTTACTGGGTACARCAAGGGGTAAAGATGGACTSCACAAGTTACCGGGGACTGCAGCACTCACACATACACACACCGAATGTTACTRGGTACAGCAGGGGATAAAGATGGACTGCACAACTTTTGAGAGCACCTTAATCCAACGGAAAGTTCACCGAAGCATCCCAAGGTAATTCGCAACTTAGACATGCATCAAAGTCAGTGAGGGCATAAGTTTGAAAGCATCTAACCCAGCGAAAAGTTCACCGAAGCATCCCAAGGTATTTCGCAACTTACCCAGGCACCCAAATCAGTGAAAACTCAAGACTTGAAGTATCAACACAAGGGGAGAGTTCACCGAACTATCCCAAAAAGAATTGCAACTTACGCAAGATTCGAAACATCAACACAAACGGAAAGTTCGCCGAACTATCACAAGATAAATCGCAGCTTACCCAAGTACCCAAATCAGGGAACTGCCATGGGGGGCAATTCCCTAGCCCCAATGCCCCACAACTAACCCCAAATTGAAAGAAAAAAAAACGGCCAACTTCCAAGTGCATCCGGTCCTCATTTTGGCTCCCGGTGCACCTAAAACATGTGTTTGGCCTCTCCTATGTAATCCGTTATTTTTCGGTTGCATGAGGCCTTGATTTTTTTTTTTCTCTGCAAAATCAAGAAAAACCCAAGATACTTTGTAACCGACATATGCCGGAATGAATCTGGTCACAAAAGCACCCCCTAGGTCGCCGTTTTTGGTTGTTAGTGCCCGTTTGATTTTTTCCTTTTTCTTTTTTTTTTCCTTTCTTTTTCTTTTCTTTTCTTTTCCTCCACTTGTGGACGGTAGGGACTTGTCAGTCCCTATTTGCTGCAGTCCCAAATGACGGCCAACTCACTCATCCTTTCTCACTCCTATTTGTTTTTTTGTGTTTCTTTTTTATTTTTATTTTGCTTTTTCTTTTTCTTTTTCTTTTTGCATGCCAAGTGTCAACTAGCCATTAAGGCCCTTTTCTAGGCTCCTCCTCTTAGTTTTGGCCCTTCCCATGCCCAAGGGCCAGTCCATTATTTCTCGGACTGCACTTGTTGAAACGGTATTCACCAATTCGCAGTAGCGAATGCAGATCCCAGGGCTCGATCCCTAGTTCCCCGTCTTACCTGTGTACAGTATGGATGCCAACCCGTAGCTTTGAACCTGCGACCTGTAGGAACGCCAGTGGTAGGTAAATTGTCGTAGGTCACAGGGTAGAAGGGAATCGAACGGTAGACCTGTAGCGTAGGAGTCTAGACAGTTCACAAGTCGTAGCTGTAGGATGTCTAAAGGGTCAAGGTCGTAGCTGCTACTTACCTGAAGGGGCAAAGTCGTAGTTGCTACAGTACCGAAAGGCCAAGTCAGCGGGTTCTAGAAGTGGCCTTTCAGAGTAGACCTGCGTTGAACAGAGGCAAGTGGTCAAGTGGTGGTAGGCCACCTCGCTGAGTCAACAGTCCCAGTTAAGCAGTCCGGTCTTGTCCAGCAAGTACCGTCTGGGACTGTACACCAAGGGCCAAGGGACACAGGGCAGACCAACGCAGCGCAAAAGTATAAATCAAGAGGCTGCGTCCAGCCATTCATTCACTCTTGCGGATGCCATGCGGAAGTGCTGCCTCAGCAGCTTGTGCGAGGAGGTCTGCAGTGTGCCCGAAGACGAAGTGGGCAGAGAAGCGTAGTGTAGCGATAGGGTAGTGGCACCCAGCGCTGCCATAGCTGTAGCATAGGGTATGTGTGTTGTGTATGGATACTGAGTGTGGCGTGTGGGACATCCATGGTGATCCAGAGTGTGAACAGTGAGTTGTGTGGGCGCACAGTCGCCATAGCCAGTTGGAAGAGAACTCTTATCTGGTCACGATATCTTTGAGTACTGTGTGGGCGCATGTCGCCAGTTTGCTGTATCGCTGTTTGCATGCATGACGAAGTGTGAATAAGTCGAGTCTGATTGCACTGGTATCGGAGCAGGTACCCGCTGTTCCACGCGCGCGATGTGCGCAGGGCCGATGTGCCGTACCTGAAGTGACCGCCGGAGGAGGCAGTCCGCCATAGCGGACCTCGAGGTGGAAGAAGACGCCGCGCACCTGCAACAAGAAAACCACGACGAAGAGAGAGAGAGAGAGAGAGAGAGAGAGAGAGAGAGAGAGAGAGAGAGAGAGAGAGAGAGAGAGATGAGAGATACAAGATTGGGTCCTTACCTGCTGCGCTGAAGATCCGGCTACGACGAGAGAGAGAGAGAGAGAGAGAGAGAGAGATGAGCGATCCAAGATTGGTTGTCACTCACCTGTAAGGCAAGACTGCGGAGTGTGGTGGAGAAGGAAGACGGTGGCCATAGCCGCGGAGCATTGACACAGAGTACCGGAGGAGAGAGAAGGGGAGGACAGAGAAGGAGGGACTAAGGAGAGAGAAGAAGAAGTGTGGAAGGAGGAGATTGAAGAAGAAGACAGACATAGCCGGGGGTGAACAAAAAAAAAAAAAAAAAACAGAGAAAGAGAAGAAGGAAGAAAGTGAAGGAAGGGGAAGTAGACGGC